ATATATATATACATAAAATACAGATGTAACAGATAGACAGACGGACGGACAGACGGACGGACAGACAGAGATGGGGACCTTGCTCCATCTCTCCATCAGTTTGACTGAAAAACATTGAAGAACACTGTTTTAAAAGACAAGCCATTAGCTTAGCCTAAAGAAGGACTTCTTCCATGATGGCTGTCATGACTGATAAGCTGCTAACTGTTGATGACAACCGACAGAATATCACTTCAAAACTGACCTGACTATCCCCTTTGATTTGATGCAATTTGATACAAAAGAACCCAGCAGGCTTCCTTAACTTTTTCAGCATTTTACAATTTAGTAATCTTATTGTATTCTATCATATTTTGGACTTATTTGAATTAGGGTCTAGTATAGACTGAATTAAATGTATGTAGTTTGATATGGGGTGTTTGGGGGTTTATTATAATGCTATCATATAGGTTTAGTTGTGGACTGGTTCAATGATCTGTGAAAAAACGGATGAATTAACGTATTTTTTTGTTGTTGTTTTTTTGTAAAGGGAGTTAAAGAACTGTGTCTTTTACCGTTTATTTTCAGCAAAGTTTTCAGCACAGAAGTAAAAGGTCTTAAACTCATCTGATGGAGGTTTCAGCTCAATGATGGACCTTTTGGACCCATGAGGCTGCTCTCGCACCATGTAACCCTGAAGGTAGACTCCACCTGAAGAAAGAAACAATGATGTATCTTAACTAAATATCTAGTCTACTTATCCAGTGTCATGTTATGAAACAAAAGAATTTTAGTTATTTATTCAGAACTTAGTACACTCTTAATATAGCTAGTAGCTAAAAAAAAATCCACAAAACCTAAAACATAATGCATGAAAACACTCAATACCAACAGCACACACTGTTGCTGACAGACTGTTAGAAAGTAGTTAGAAGGTACAAAATGGCTGAAAGTTTGAAATCTGGCTGGTCTGTACCATGTGCATGAGTTGCTCGGATCCCGCTGTACAAGTACAGACACCCATCCTTCAGAATGCAGTAGTGCTGCACTGACGTGTCCTTGCTTTTGTCCATTTTATGAAGTAATCCAAGACAGTCAGGGTTTTTCACAGCCAATGGGGGGAGATTAGAGTTGTGTCTCGTGACATCAATCCACACGTGATTCTAAAATATTAGGGTTTATTAATATTTAAAAAGTAACCTATTAAGCAAATACGCCACATTATCATTTTAGTCTATAATTGCAATAAACATTATTTTCAAAATTAAATGGAAATTAAAAAGTTTAAATTCCAAAGTCCCTACTATTTGTGTCAGATAATGTTGTACCTGTGTGATAGGATGAATAGCTTTTTCCATAGCTTCTAACCACCTGGAGTTACAAAGACATCAATAAGAAAATTATGATTTCTAATGTTTTTGAACCAGATCTTTGAAGACCTTAAAAATTCCATCATTAAAAAGTGCACAAAGTATTTGTTTAAAGGGGACATATCAGGCTTTTAAAACCTCCCTTTTTCACATTTGAATCATTCATTTGGAGTCTATAGAAGTGGAACTGCAATGCTTTGGTCTGATTTCCTCCTAGCTGTAGCTCCAGAGGCCCCTCTTTTATTTCTGATCTGAGGTGCTTCTGAGAGCAACTCGTTTTGGTGCTGTCCCTTTAAATGCAAACAAGGCATTACAAGCCCCGCCCCCCTCCAGGCCTCACTCCCAACGATTATTGTCCACTCCACCCTGTTTGGCCATTTTTGCAGTTTGACAGCAGCAATAGGATTAAGTAGCAGTGGCAGAGAAACTTTTTCTTTACAAATGAATTAAAAGATGTCAACAAAAGAAGACTTGTCCATCCAGCCCTACACGTCTGAGCCAGAGGAGAATGAAGATGAGGAACCTTCAGAACTGCGGATTCACCAAATTGCTAAGCCTATGATCTTTTTTAGATGTTCTGCAGCAAATAATCTTTGACAATATCTGACGATCGACTCTTTCAAATGAAACCAGAGAGCGTTGACAGAGAGAAGAAATTCTAGAAATGACTTAGCCTGTTAGCTTTAGCTTTAGCCCCGACGCTATCACCATATATATGTATTAGCTCAGCGCTACACATTCTCCTCTCTTCACTGAGGTCCTCCATCCACATGACAGAGAGGGGAACACAAAAATGACTCAGCCTGCAACTGAAAATATGGATGGATGACCTCAGTTTAGCTTGTTAGTTTGTCGTGCTAGCACTGAGCTAATACATATAAGACAATATAGCGTTGGCGCTTAAGCTAACAAGCTAATCTAAGGTTTTTCTTCCATGAAGCAGCTCTGTTGTCCTCCATCCACATTTTCAGTTACAGGCTGAGTCATTTCTACCTTCTCCTCTCTGTCAACGCTCTCTGGTTTCATTTAAAAGAGACAATCATCAGATATGGTACAAGATTAACCTTCAGGGTGGGTATAGCTCGCTCATACCGAGGACCTATCAATGTCATAATTTACCCAGAATGCTTTGTGTGTAAATAAAATGGCTCCCTCCGTGTTAAAATATATTTCAGAAAATTTACAAAACTAAACAGCCTACAGTATTTTTACTGTCATTATTTTACAGTTAAAATATATGTTTATCAAATAAAGTCTAATGTTGGATCCTTTTAATGGCTAAAAAAAGTGGATTCTGCATGATATGTCCCCTTTAAATTAATTGTAAACAATGCAATAGCCATTTGTTCCATTTGCTGTAGCTGTTTGTGTCAAATGGATTTACAAATAAAACAATCAAATTTGATTTGAACTCAGAATGGTTGTAATTTACCTTTTCATTTCTTGATTGGAAGTGGCACAGAGAAAGTACACTCGGTTTCCAGACTGAGGTTGGCACTTGAAGACAAATGGCTTTCCCAGGGAAACATCTGGACCCACCTCAGCTCCTTCCAGCTGTACTGACAGTAAAGGCTGCCTCTTACCTTCATCCTGTAGGAACATTGTAGTCAAATTATATGATCAAACTGAGATCTAGTTAACATACATGTAGACTATTATTTTTCAAGCACACAAATTCACCTACTTACCCGTTTGTGTTTGTAGTAGTAAAGACAGCAGTCGTGTGTAAGAACAAACCATCTCTTCCTCCAGCCTTTAATCAGACCAGACTGGGTACGCTTATGAAGGTAACCACGACAGGGTGGTCTAGGTGTGTTGGGACCTCGAGCAATGTCTGATCCAACAGTCAATATTAGAACATCTGGACCTGCATTATTAACAACAATCATATTTGTTAAGCTTTAATTCTGTTTTCACATCCATAATTAGTCAACTTTTTATTTTGCTGCCTTACAGCTAAAAAAAACTTATTCATTTAAAGTCTTTTTGTAAACTCATTAGCTACAATCAATGAAAAATTTCACTTTAATTCCACTTTTATGTTGCACCATAACGTAAATTTTACAAAAAAGCAGGTGAATATTTTTTTGCAACTGATTGTATGGTTCTAGGAAAATGTCACAAGTGCTTATTCTGGTTCCTGCTTAACAAATTAAAAAATATCAAACCTTTTCTTGCTAATTCAGCTGCCTCAGAATGATGAATGCTGGTGACATCAGTTCCATTAACAGCTAGAACGTAGTCTCCAACCATCAACCCTGCTTCCTCCGCTGCGCCATCTGAAACCAAACACATTAGAAGTCTTATCTTGCAAAGAGAAACAATTCACACTTTTCAAGAAAAGAAATGATAAAAACACTACAGCCATAATCTTTTGCGGAAAAGTTGCAACTTTAGTTTCAAAACTATAGCTACTAGAATTTCCCCGCATCATACTGTATTCTGCTGAGATGAAGATAAAGTTTCAAATTGACCACTGATTCGATTATACTTAACACAAAAATGTTGTGTTCGGTGGATTATTTCTTTGTTGTAACGATGCTTTTTGGCAATAAATCTTGTGATTGGCAGCACCCGGAGGTACCAGAAGATTAAAACAAGTGCCAATATCAGCGGCAAAATAAGCTGGCAGAGAAGATTTGGCAAATTTTCCATGTGCGCAACACACATACTCATCTCTACTGCTCATCATACAAATGCATGTTCCTTACAAACGTGACACCATTTAAAGGGGAAATGAACAGTCTTTCCAAGAGATTTGTTGCCAAGAAATAAGCTACCAAACACAAATGTTTTTGCTTTTTGTGCAAAATTTATTCTTATTTACCAACAAGTGTCAAATGCATCATCAGTATGTGCCATGAAGGTTTTTAAAGATTAATCAAAAGTGCTAAACTAACATTTCAGGGAAAAAAATACTAGGAAAACACAGCCTCTTCATACAGTTTTCCTTTATTACCAAACAAAAGTATGTAGATTTGTCCTCAAATCCCTGACATCAATGCAATTTCTTGTTTTGCTATAAAACATTAAGTAAGATTTTAAACTAAAATATATCAGAGATTTAAATGATAATGGAACATTTTTATCATGGGGCATTTATGTATATAATGTGTCATTTATTTAATTATTTCACTTTAATTCAATTGTGAGGCAAGTTTATATTTTTTGGGCAGCTGTGGAAGAGTGGTTGTTAACCAGTGGGTTGCCGGTTTAATTCCTTATTCCTTACATCTCAGTCATTGTGTCCTTGGGCAGGACACCTATGGTGGTCAGAGGGTCCGGTGGCGCCGGTGCATGGCAGCCCCACCTCTGTCAGTCTGTCTCAGGCCAGCTGTGGCTACAATGTAGCTTACCACCATCAGTGTGTGAACGTATGTCGACTGTATGACTGTAGTGTGAAGCACTTTGGAGTCTGTAGGGACTTAAAGTGCTGTACTCTGTAAATTCACATCATTTACCATTTTCACTTGCTATCTAGAATAATTCATCTCAAATATTCAAATGCAGTGATATTGTTGTTTTTTTATTTGTTGCATTTGGATTTTATATAAATAAATTCATAAAATCTTTATGTTGATTGACATTAAAGTAGGCCTATTATCTCTGCCTGGGAGGGTATGTTTCTGTTAGCATTGGCTTGTTTGTTTATCTGTCTGCACAAAAAGTTATAAACAAATTTTGATGACATTTTCAGAAAAATTGGGGTCGCCACAAACAACAGATGATTAAATTGTGGTCGTGGTCTGGATCACCATCCAGATCTGGCATTTTAAAGGATTTCTTAACCATTTGACTCGTTGTTCCAGTGTGTGAAATTGAACAGTTCTGCAACATTTACATTTTTGCACGAGTGACCCTGGGTTTATGGTGGAGGTGTGCACTCTTCAAGAGGTTCTAATTGAATTATAGTTTCACTTACTTGTGTCAACCTCTGTTACAACAATAGGTTTAGAAAATTGTATTCGAAAGCCCCAAGGATATTCTCCCATCCTTTTGTTGATCTTGACAGTCCGCTCTCGAACTGAAAAAGTAAAAGTTTATTGGACATACTAAGATATGCAATCACTTGATCAGTTCTGGGCAGAAAAAATTTCCTACAAAGCTCTACAGAGTTCAGAATCAAAATAAGCTAAGACAAAAGAAAAGTTGATTTCCATTTACAAAGTCTCGAGCTTACTTGAGACAGGTCGAGTTCTGGTTATGAGACTGCGCCGAATGTCCACTGAGCTTACGTCATCCCCTCTGTAAATCCATGCTGAGGAGTGAAACGTCTCCATATAAAAGCACGTGTCTTCATAGTCCTGAGCTGCCAGGTCCATGGAATGTGTGTCTTCAGATACTTGAAGTAATACAACAGAGAGAAGAACACGGTCCACTGATGGCACATAAACATAATGAAGAGTTTTTACTATGTGGATGATAACATGTAGGAAGGACCCAAATGCAGGGAAGAAGGAGGCAATTTCAGAAACTTGACAAGATTTTTTTAAAGAAAACTAAATTGTCAAATGGGTAAGATGCAAAACTGGAAAAAGACAATCTAATAAAGTCGTAATGGGAATTACAGTTGTGTTACTGCATCATGGCATCCCACAAAAAAATTATATAATCAAGCAACTACGGTATGTCTTGATTAGACATTAACGTTAAAGAGAATAATAAATTTGAAGTGGCCGGTGAGTGTACACTCACCGGCCACTTTATTAGGTACACCACGCTAGTAACGGGTTGGAC